ATGTGAACTACATTCATCATTAAATTCATCTTCACCATAACCTGGGTTCTCTGCGTCATCTCCTCACCACTTCAACCCCACCTTATGACAATCTCAGTGTTGGGCTTCCTCCCTTTAGATTTGTAGATTCTTTTCTGTCCAGTTCAGCTCCCTGTTTGCTCTCAATGTTAAGCTGTACACAGACTGTGTGATTTGTGGCCTATTTTCCAGTCAATCTGTCTATAATATATGTTTTTAACTTAAGATTATTAAAATATATTGATAATTACTATGGGTTACAATTGAATTTAACAGTACCCGTTTATATTGATGTTGCTAAATTCATGATATTATGTTTATTTCGTACCATGCATCTGTCTAAAGATGAGTTTCTTTCCAGATACATTAAATTACTTCCAGGGATACAAACACGCACTTATTAACACGCATGACGTGATTATTACTAGTTCTGTTCACACATACTATATCTTGGTTCTTTTTCACAATTAAAAAGAAAATGAACAAATGCAAACCTTCCAAGTATTTCAGATTGCTTTATATGAAATATATACACTTCTAACAATAATGACGCTGGTTTATGAAAAACTTTAATCCTTCGGTTTTGAAAACGTTTTCATGCTGAAGGTTAAGATCGCATCGTTCATTTGAAAAGCAATCACTTTTCTGTCAGAATGGTTAAAAGTTTTATTCTTTTTCTTTCTGTGGTCATTTAGTATTTTTGTGAACCGAAATGCAAAAGAGAAGAAGCTGGAAATCTGAAAACTGACATGCTATCTAGATGGGCTTTGTAGAGTTTAAAAACAACTAATTACAATGACATGCAGTGTCTTGCTCAAATTTGTCACTTAACACAAACTTCAGTGTAATTTTATCTGATAGCACAACACAAAGCAGTCAGTTAATCAGTAAGTAAAGTTTATCTTCGTATGATTTAGCCTCAATGTGAATACAGCTTTTCTATAAAGACCTGAAATGGTTGTTACAAAATATTGGTGACAGAAACAGCATCATACGGTGACATACGGTGGCAGCATCATGGGCGTAGTGAATTACATATTAAGGTTTGTGATTGTTGCAACATTTCTGTTAAAGATGCCGATTAAAATGTTGTTTTATGAGAAGAAAACTAAATATGGTGTTAAACCCCTCCAACATACAGCCATGGAATAAGTGTGAAGAGGAAGCGTAAACCCTGCAGATGTCAAATTTTAAACTTTGTGCATCCAAACCTGCAGAACACAAACAACTAATCTGATGATATTTGACTAAATGAGCCTCAGTCATGCTGGCTCAACCCAGCTCATGTCAGAGTGTCCTATCCAAACAGTCACCAGAGAAAAGGACCATTCAGAAGTAAAAAAAAAAAAAAAAAAAAAAAAAA